ATGTATATACATAAACAAGAACAGTATAAAATGACCTCACACATATAAACAAACTAGAAATAGCTATAAATGGTTGAACTGAAACAGGAAAATGATGAAAGTGATAGCATTTTACATATTTTCTCTCGTTCACACGAGAATTAACGAGAAAGCAGACACGGACAAAAAATAGTAATAAATAAGCAAATATGATAAAAAACAATTTGAAAGTCACATATGGGGAAAAAATAATACAACAAAACTTTATAATGTTGCATTTAAATATACCTGTTGTATTGTAAAATAAATAAATAAATATACCTGTTGTGAATGATGATTTTTTGGGCAATGTTTTTTCAGTTTTTCAGAATAAAATAGAAAGTTAAGATTCTGAATGCTGATTTTCAAGGCGGTCACGAACGGGTGCAATACAGTCTTCCTTCTTCAGTAAAGTTCTGTTTAAGTTCGTAAAAGAGATTGCTTTTTTTGAACACAGTTCGTGTGAGAACAAAACAAATAATTTCTTTCGTCTAAACAAACAAAATTTTCATAGATAATTTATTTGTTTTTCTGAATATACGTAATATTTTTATGTTCGTATACTAAAATATTCTATTGCTACAAAAACATCTACATATCAGACAAGCAAAAAAAATAATCCTTGATGATGGCTACTAGTTAAGCACATTCGTTCTCAACTTCAAACTTCAGTTTGGACAAGATTAAACAACATTATGTCAAAAAATCTCTTGTATGAATGCAAGAAAAATAAAATAAAATTAAAAAGTTAATAATGTGTATATGAAAGTTTTTCTTCAATGAAACCTGTTTAAATGTATCGATCTACCCTAAACAAACAATTTTTAGATAGATAGATAGATTTATTTCATCAAGGAAGGCGATAAAGTTTTTAAATGAAGGTGTTATCTATGAAACGTTATTAGAAAAAGGATTCAAGGAGAAGCACTGAATCTAGTTTATCTATCTAGAAGAGAGAGAAACAACTTATTAGTACTTATGTTTTTATGTCTATCTGTCTAATTACTACAACCCTTTATATATATATATATATATATATATATATATATATATATATATATATAAGTAATAAGTTTCTTTATCTTTTTTAATAGCAAAATGTTCATTCTGAAAACAGAAAAAAATGATTTTGATAAATTCTCATATTTTTCTTTTAAAGGACAGAATTGATTTTCAATTTTGTGGGCCAAAAATAATAATTGATAAGCAAATATGATAGATCATATTGGAAATTCGCACATTAGAAATATCTACAAAACGAAAATATTTATAACTGTAACAAACGAGTTCAGAGTTTATAGTTACACTATTGTTTTTCGTATCATCCATTTTCTATTTATCAGAAATGCACTTGTTAGGTATTTATATTAGTGGCTGCACGATGGGCTTTTGATAGACTAAGTCATTTAGTTTGAGTTTCAGTAAATGCTCTTAGTGACATGTTGATTGGCTCAGGATTACGACAGCTGATAAATGGATTTTGTTACTGGAGAATGCGTTGTTTAATCAATCATTATTTTTAAAGTTCACTCCCCGCCGGTTATCTTGAACGTCTCAAGATTTGAGGAATGTTCTTTTATCATTAAAATATCAATTTGAGCTAGTTATTATGGGAATGACTGTCAGCTGTCCTGTCCACGCTGCCAGTTGTGACGTCACCAATGTCTGTTGGTATTGGTCGCGTCCTATCCTGTCCTGTGACGACCAATGTGACTTGGTAGTGGTCGCGGCACCAAATGTGACGTTCTAACCTTTGCTGATTCGGATGGGAATCTGGTTAGATTCGGTATCAGCCTTGTCGTTCCCAGCTCGCCTCCAACGTCTGGTTACCGAAGTAACTGTTTTGATTTCTAGTCTAACCTACCCACGTTGTGATTTGATCTTAGGTAGACGAAATCAATCAGTCGCCGGGCCGTAATGCAAGCTGAGTTCGAACAAGGGTAATACCGCACAAGTATATGTAAAAGAAAATAAAGTAATAACTCGAAAAGTTCAAATGTGTAAAAAAAAAAGGATAACAATATTTTATATCTGTTTGCTGAATACAGGACTGCGTCTTTCTCCCAAACCGCTATATGGATTCGTGACACTTTGTGTTTGTTAGGCGAGTCTTAACATCTTAAGTTGTTTTTCTTTAAGAAACTGGTTTTTGGTGTATCTTCAGGCGATATTCGTAAAACTTGTTTTGGTGGTGTGAGTCTAAGTCGTTCTTCAAAAATAAATTGTTCTTGGTTAGAAGTTGAGGGTGAATGCGTGGAATCTTCAGTCAGCTTTCTGCGAGGCGGGTCTCAGAGCTCTCAGCTCAACTCAACTGCAACTGCTCTGCCTGTCTCAACTCCAACCCCAACTCTGGAACTGCTTTTCACTCGCTGCGACTCTGCTTATATGGACGCCGACCAAAACCGGGGTGGGCTTGTCGGGGTTTGAGGTTCCTTGATAATTCTAAATCCACAATCCATTTTCTTTGTTTTCGGTCAGGAAAATTTATTATTTTCCATTTTTGAAGTTTTTTCGTCCTCCCAGGGAATCGTCCTCCCAAATTCTTCCTTTCTCATATTGGTATCTCACCATCCCCTCAGAGGGCGTCAACAGGTTTCCCTCTCTCTCACAGTGGCATCTCACACCAATCCCTTCAGGGGGCGTCAACAGGCCTCCCCCTCCTTCTTCACATGATTACCTTCGCCTAACGCTCACGCCACCATTCAGCCAATGGGCGCTCAGCAGCGTGGGTTTAGCCTCAATTAAAAAAAATCTTGCTCAAAAAGAAAAAAATTATCTTCTTTTTTTTTTTTTTTTTTTTTTTTTCTTTCTTTTCTTCTTCTCAGTGTGGTCCTTAATCTCTTATCTTATCGAATGTCACCTGGACTTTATCAATCGAGATTTTCGCCAAACAAGTGGGTGGTTCATCTGGACGATTTGCATTCTGCCAATTATCTGTTCCTGATAAAATAATTTTTGCTATGTAGCCAGCTCTGGACATAAAACAGTTGTTTTTTTCAAAAACCAAATGATATCTCCGCAGATAGTTAATGGGTTCTTTCTTTTTCTTTGTAATTCTGGTTGGTCCAACGGACATTTTTTTGACCCAATTAATTTTTATCTCTTTAGAATTCTGTTTTGTAGGCCACTTGACCAATTTGAAATTTTCACCATTGCCATGGGCAGATTGCTATATTTTATTTCGCCGTCGTAAATAAAAATTAAATCCGCGATCTTACGCGATCTTTTTCTTTCGCTAATGCAAATGAAAATAAAATCTTTACCACTTTTCTTTGTTAAAAAAAAAAAATAACATCGCTCAGTGTCTTTTCGTGATAGATTCTTATCACCTAAATTTAATTCTCGCCTTTTTTTTTTTTTTCTTTTTTTCTAAACCTAAAATAGTGTCACAGATGGGACCGTCTATTCTTTATATGCATTCTGTAAAAATTTCTATCACCCTGGATGAAATAATATATATATATATATATATATATATACCATATATATCAACGTTATTTAACAAAAATGATCGTACATGAACCGTTTTATTTAAAAATGGATTTATCTCAAAATGTATCTGGAATTTTATTCAATCAGAAAAACAAAATGGACGGTCAGTGATATAACGAACTTCTATGAATTGGCAAATATAAATAATATATATATATATATATAACATATTAATATATATATATAAATTTTGCTTAAAATAGAACCAGTTCAATTAAAATTTCATATACAAATGTGTACCAGGAGATTATATTTTTTTAATGGTTAACATAAATAAAATTCAAAATATGTTCAATTTAACTTTTTTTTAAAATTATAGATTTTATCATTTTTTTATTTTATTTTATTTTTATTGTTTTAAAAGGCTTCAAAATATACTTTTATTATTTTATATATATATATATAAAATAAATTTTTGTGAAAAAATATTTTGTGTATTTAAATGTGTGTATACAATGTTCATATTTGAAACATATATATATATATATATATATAATCTGGATTTTTTAAGAAAATTTTATTCTAAATCGGATATTTAACATACATTTTCATAAATAAAATATATATATAAATGATTGAACAATTTTTTTTTTTTTCACAAATATTTTTTTTTCCATTGTTCCATTTACAATTATTATAGCAAAATTCATTTGTTTTTTTTAAAAGATATATCTGCATTGGGTATATTATTTACACAATTTTTTATTTATATGTCGTACGTACCATATAATGGATTTTAACCTATCTTACGATTAGAAAACAATAATTTTGAAATGTAACTTAAATATATATATTAATATATATATATATATATATATATATATATATAAATAAGAAGAAGAAAAAATGAAAAAGAAAAAAGAAGAAACCTTTAAAAAAAGAAAAAAAGGAGGAAAAGAAGGATTTTTATTATTAAAGAGGAAGGAAATTTAATCTATGAAGAAATGATTCTATGTGAAAAAAAAATTATTAAAGAAGAGAATATCGTTTTGAGAAAAAGTTAGAAGAAGAAAACAGAAGATGAATAAAAGAGGAATAAAGATTAAAAAATTTTTATTTCTTTAATGAAATTTATTTGGGAAGGAAAAGAATAAGAGGATGAATTTAAAAAAAAAAAGTTGAATGTATTTGTGGTATTCTTTTTTGAAAAGAAAAGAAAAAGAAGAAGAACGGGAAATGATGGAATAAGGAAGAAAAAATTTCAAGTCAGAAGGGAAAAAAATTTAAAGGAAATTGAAAAAAGTAAATCAAGAAAAAAATTGGATTAAATTCCTTGTTTTAAATAAGATAGAATTAAAATTTTAAAAAATTATTTTAAAAAAATTTAAGGAAAAAATAAAATTAAATTCAAGAATTTTTTAAAAATAAATAAAATGATTTCTTTTCTTCAAAGGAGGATGGGCTTTTTTCCAAAATCGCCATATTAAAGAAGAAATGATAAAAAGAGTGAGGATAAAAAAAGGAAAAGGAGAAGAATGCTCTTGTTTGATTTATAGGAGGACAAGAAGAAGAAGAAACAAATAGGGAAGTAGGAATTCAAAAAAAAGAAGAAAAGGAAACATTTGAGAAGAAGATGAAAAAGAAAAGAAGAAGAAGAATGAAGAAGAAGAAGATGAAAGGATTTTTAATTGTGGAGAAAAATTTAAAAATGAGTCTAAGGAGGAGGGGCTTACTATAAAATTAGTAGGAAAAGAAGAAGGTGAACAAACTAAGAAGGATTGAATGCTTTTTCCTCTGTTCAACAGGAAAAAGAAAAAGAAGAATAAGAAGAAGAAGAAGAAGAAGAAGACAAGAAGAAGATTTAGAAGAGTTCTTTTCTTGACTTTTTTGAAAAATTTCTGAAATTTATTATTTAATTATTTCTTTAAAATTTTTGGATGTTTGGGTCTTTCATCCTTGCTGAAACCTAAGTTTAAATTTAAGAAAATTTCCTTTTCCGCATTTCGACATGGAAAGGTTATGCAAAAAATTTCTCAAATTTTCCGTCCGAATATTTTTTTTAATGAATGGAGCACGGTACAAACCTTTTTGCATCAGTTTCCAATAATTTCGACAGACAGCTGACGGTTTTATGGAAATGAACAATTTTTTTCATATTTTCTCTACTTTTGAACTCTTTCTCATGGTTGGATCTTGAGGTTTCTAACTTTGTATCTGCAAAAATGTAATTCAATACAACGAAACCGATCTGGAATTATTCACAATTTCTCCACGCACATGATTTTTAACATTTTTATAAAAATAATTCTTATGACCCTAATAACAGAATAATCGTATTGTTTTGGGATGATAACGATTATTTTTTTTAAAAAGGCAATTGATATCTTTGTATCTTTATTATTATGGGAAACAACGTTTCATTTCACTGATGAGAAATGGATAAGAATATTTAAAATTTAATTCATTAAAATTGACAGAAGTTTTCATATATCGATTTTCAAGGGATAATGAAATATTTGGAGATTTATTGGTTTTTTTTTCATTGAAGGAATAAAAACCTTCAGTTTGAATCATTTAGAATTACACGTTTTATTTTATCCTTCAAATGTGGAGTTATTCATTCAACATAAAATCATTATTTCAATTTTTTTATTATTATTATTTCCTAATTAAAAAAAAATTTCAAAAATGGAATAAAATTTTAAAGAAAAATAATGTCCATGATTAACTTTCCAGACAAAAAAAAAAAAAATTACAAAAATTATTTTATAATTTTTTATTTAAATCCTTTTTTTTACATGGTTTAATCAAAAAAAAAAAGAAAATTTTTGAATTTTTTTTGCTAACTGGAAATTAGTTAATAATATATTTAAAATAGCCATTATGTCTTTTTGACATTTCCTAAAGGAATTGGCACAAAAAAAAAAAAGAATCATGTTTTTTTAGTTTGTGCCAAGTCTGTTTTAACTTCAGAAGTTTTTTTTAAAAGATTCAAGAAATAAAAATATAACAGGAAATAATTAAAAGAAAATTCACATCACATATGATGATATTATTATTATTATTATTATTATTATTATTATTATTATTATTATTTTCTTTGGTTTCTGGCGTTTACACATTTCTTTTCGGGTCCCGCCCAGGGACCTAAGGTTAGAAATGGCATCATGACACTTTCCAAAAAAAAAAAAAAAAAAAAAAAAATTACATAGATAAAGCCCTTCGTAAAGTGTGGGCTGTATTTGTCAGAACAATTTTTTGTATCTCTTTGAGGCATGGACTTCCAGGAATCCCTTCAATTAGTCTACTGCAATCTTTTCCAACCAGTCCTAGGGCTCCAACTACAACAGGGATTGTTGATGTTCCCATATGCCACATTTTCGAGATTTCTATTTCAAGGTCCTTGTATTTTTGACAGCTTTTTTTGAATATCTTCAAAGATACATTGCAGTCAGCAGGGACTGCCATATCAATAAGGAGGCACATTTTTTTGTTTGTGGTCTTTAATAACAATATCTGGGCGGTTGGGCTTTGATTGTTCTGTCAGTGTGTATTGTGTAGTCCCATAGAATTGTAACAGGTCCTATCTCCGTAACCGGGTCTGGGTGGTGTTCATACCAGTTTCTTTCAGTTTCCTTCCCGTAGAAGTTGCAGATTTTCCAGTGCAGATATTGGCCCACTCTGTCATGCCGGGTTTTATATTCAGATGGGTGCCAATATCGTGCAACCTGATACAAGATGATCAATCGTTTCTGGATATTTATCACAGAATCTGCATTTTGGGCTAACATAAATATTTTAGTATATTATTTGATAATTATTATATGGTTTTACTCCGTGTTTCTCATTTATTATTCGTCTTGGGTATGAGGATAAACTGCATACAGTAACAAGATCTCTAATTAGGAGTCTTTGAAGATGTTTTGAGGAGAGTGCAACAACCTCTTAATTGCCGTTGTTCCAAGGCTCTACATATGGGCAAATAGCTACCCCCCAAACTGGGGTCAAAACACTATGAAAGTATAAACATACATTTTTATAGTGAAAATACCAGCACTAAATTTTCATAGTAATTTCATAGTATGCCGCTAAACAAACAAATAAATAACCATCTAACATGATTTTAACCCATTAACCTCCAATTTTTTAAGGCGCATTTTTGGCCCAGACAGGTGTCTTAGGGGTTTATTTATTCCTTATGTTTAATGTCAATACTTACCATTGTCATTTTTATAGAAACTCGAACATCAAATATATATGTGTATAAAATATCAAAAAATAATATTGATTAGAAATAATAAAAAAATAATTTTTTCAATTATTTTTCATGAATTTTTCTACCCGACAGAAGTGTGTAAAATTACGGCTAAAAGTGTCTTCTTTAAAGGCTAATAATAAAAACTTGCAAAAGGCTATGTTGTAAAATATATCTGCAAATACAAATAACAATCCAATGTAAATGACAGAATGACAGGTTGAGAGTTTAATTTTAACAGATCCCCAAATGGGGTTAATGGTGACATGAATTTATTACTTCAAAGCTCAGAAGAAAATTAGATTTCGGCATTAAATGACCCATAAGGAGTTGATATGCCATTAAACAAATAAAAGTTTCTTTTCATATTGACAATTTTCACAAATAGTACTTCTGGTATTACAGTTTTATAAACTTTTCTCGATCTTATTGATTCTGTTCCGAAAAAGATCTCTATTAATATTTCATAATTAATTGCTGCTTTTTTAAGGAAAATGTTTTCGCAAGTATTATTCTATTATTATTTTCAACTATCTCATTCTTGTTCCTTTTTCAGAAAAACAAAAAAACAAGCAAATACATTTTAGCTATTTCGGATTTACCATTAATTTTACTCTCACTTTTTATTACTTTTTAAGAAAGAAAACTTTTTCGCTTTTATTTTTTATTTTAAATTTTACGCCATCTTATTAATTTTTACTTTAAAAAAAAATATTATAGCTATTATTTCATTAATTTTAATCATTCTTATTTTTGGCTACTTTATATCCTCCTTGTTTTAGTCCACAGATTATAAAAGCTTCTCCAGATTATAATACCTTATCTTTTTTGCAGTGAACATAAGCTTATTTTTTTTTGCATTAAAATTACAGTATTTTCTAAAATTTCAAGCAGTATTTCGTCACATCAAAAACTTTCAGAAAAAGATCAAGCCATACCCCTTTTTCAGTTGCATACGTTACTCATTGTTCCTTACAAAAGAGGCTCCAATCTTCCGAACAGATCTACAAGTGGAGTGTTTGGAAGATAGCCGATAACCTTAATCGTCATATTTAAAGATAAATTCATTATATATCAAAAATAAATCCCACATGAATAAAATACACAGTGATGCATCTATGTGTGCATGCGTACGTTGAAGAAGAAAAGTTAGATGTTTAAACCTGTATGGCTTATTATTTTCAAAATAAAAAAGAGACGGCAACATTTAGTAAGAAACCAATACTACTTCAGAATCATCCGTTGTTGATAAGGACATTATAATAGTAAAGCGGATTTACCAAATTGCTGGTTTAATAAATAACAAGAGAAGAGAAGATGGGAGTCGTACATTTTTCAACTTTTCAGACAGAAAAAAAAGACGTCTGCATTTCCTTTTAGAAGATTGGATTGTCACCTGATCTCTCCGAGGTTTTAGATTAGCAATATTAAAAACAAAACAAAAATAAAAAGAATGTGTGTGTTTGTGTATGTGTGTGTGTGTGTGTGTGAGAGAGAGAGAGAGAGAGAGAGAGAGAGAGAGAGATTTATCTGAACATTGAAAAGTCGATAAGCTAATAATCAGTTTAACACAAATGGAGATAACCGAACGTCATCGTAGATAAATTTACCAACAATATCAGATTACATTTCACGAAAGGCAAAAGGAAATTTTGATTGAATTTTTGAAGGAAAGATAACAAGAGAATGGCAAATGGCGCCAAATCGCGTGAAGGTGAAAGTTACGTAAGAAAATCCTTTTTTTTTGTTTCTTTTCAGTGTCAACAGAATTTTTTGGTGTCACGAAAAAATATTTCCAAGCGAAAATCAATTAACTTCTACATACACGACCCAATTAGAAGTATACATATAAAATATATGTTATTGCATTTATTATATATATTATATATATATATATATATATATATATATATATATATATATATATATATATATATATGGTTGTATAAATGTGAGTTTGTGACCCTGGGTTTCACGCTTTAGCGATCGTCAGACAAACATGTTAGCTGATATCACTGATATTTATATATTTTTTCACACACACACATATATATATATATATATATATATATATATATATATATATATATATATATATATATATATATATATATATAAAAAAAAAGAACATAAGATATATAATCCGGTGTTCTTATAGATATTTTTATTTTTACAAAATAGTGCTCAATGTAAATTTACAGAGCATAATATTATAAATTAATTGATTTAAAATATGTTTTTTATGCTACACTGTTCTAACCATGTTTCAAAAATAAAAGCTTAAATTTAAATTTAATTTTGCAATTAAATTAAAAGCATTAGTTCCACTTCATCCTCAAGCGAATTTTGAAGTAACTTTTAAAAATTACTGGGTTTTAAAGACACAGCTAAAATTACGTTTCCATGGTTACAGAATATTCTACTTGAATTGAACAAGGGATGTCTAGGTATTCCTTATGTCAGTATCATTGTATCAGTTATTAGCTACAATTTGGTAAGGGGTAGGGATGTCCCTCTGAAAGTTCTCCACTGCTTTAACCGGGTATTGAACTTACACTCTTTGGGTCCTGTCACTGTATCTAACCAACCCCAGTGAGCGAAATAAAGGGTTAAGTTCGCCATTCCAACCACCTGAAGAAGGCCGGAGCGTACAACGGCCGAAACGTGGTGATAAATATGGCGAAAAAGATGGGGACAATACTCCGAATAATGTAAATAATGTACATAATACCACATCTCAGAAATATAGACAGATACTTATTTCAGTAAGTAGGAGCCCTAGATTGCAGCTCGCTACCGAGTCTGACGCTAAACAATGTTCAGATGTTTATCATTGTGTTTAAAAAGGGAGATAATTGGTCTTGTAAACTTTTTAGAAATTAAGATACATGTGTTAAAAAATAATAACTCTTACAAAGCTTAAACATTTAGACAGGCATGAACCTTCAAATTTATTCGATAACGTCTGATCGAATCTCAGGTTATTTTCCAAATAAGATTTTTATTTAATACATTAATTCATCATAATCTTTCTTTGAATAATATCTCTGCGGCGTGTTTACATAGCAGTGATATGATTTTACACGATCTCTGCCATGTACAGCATGAAATACGCCAAGTTCGTAATTTTTAAATACAAAGAAATTGGCTCCATCCATTCCATTTTTTTAAACGTAAAATAACATTTACATTGACCTTATTTGAGAATACAAACTTTACCTAAGCTCATATTTCAATCTACCCTTAAAAAGACATATCGTGGTTGTAGTTGTTGCTGTTGTCTATGGAATAACAACCTGTTTGAAGAACACTTTCGACTATATACCGTTTAGGCATCCGTCTTAAAAAATCCAAACGTCCTTAATCGGCATGAGCCACGTACCCTTCCCTGTTAAGTTTTACTTTTAAGAATGTCGGTTTAATTAGATGATAGAATTTTCGAATAGCCCGTCACCAGCAGGCCTCGCACCTCATCTACAGATTGGACCACCAGTGATGCTGCTAAGAAACCTGGATACATCGAAGGTTTGTAATGGCACACGACTTGCAATTAAGATGAGACATAACGGCGACAATGGCAAGGCAAGCTGTGAGCTGTATTTATTCCTAAAATTCCATTTATTCCCTAGGATATGCCTTTCCAATTAAAGCGGCTGCAATTCTCGTTGAAATTGAGTTTTGCAATCAGCATTAACAAAGCTTAGGGGCAGTTCTTGTATGTAGTAGGCCTTAACCTTATATAACCAACTTTGCATGAGACGGGACGGTGATCCCAATCATTTGTTTATTTATACACCCCGCAGAAAGACCAAATGTTGTTTATCAAGAGGCTCTAAAAACTTGATAAGAAACACCTAATCGTCAGATGTTTAGGATTTAACAGTGATATTTGTCAGTGTTTTAAATCTTTTGTTAGTCAATATATTATCTGATGTAATAAATATGCAACACCTGGGTTCCCCCTCACGGTAATATGATTGGCTGGTGTCAGCCATAAATACAGAATGATGTGGAGGTACATCAGGACACCTATTGGCTACGCCTATAGTCTTCGCCTATTGCCTACGCCTATTGCTTACCACTACGACGAGGACCAGTCCATTACGGTTAAATGCTAGATTGTCCTACTCGGTTACAGTAGTCCAAAACCACTTTGCTGCTTCGAACAAATATATCCCTTTCCGGGACATATCATTATTCTAATTGTAAATCACTATATAAATCTACTTGCATATCTGTTGTGAAACTATATGTCAGCTTATTTGTACATCTATTTGAAATTTATTTTAACATTATCCTCCCTAAGAGCGAAATTCTCTGTGAACGCGCAAAAGCCCTTTTCAGGTCTACTTTGAATTATTTCTTTCAGATAACCGATTTTTCTATTATTACTTAAGTCGCTTTACGATTTCGATATTCATCATTTATTGGTATTTCCTCAAAAATTCCTTGAGGTGGTTGTTGGTTATTCTCTGTGAACGAACAAAAGACTTTTTCAGTGCAACTTACTTTGAATTGTAATTTTCGGTTAACCGAAAAAGGATATGAGAACATAAACTGGGATAATATCCGGCTTCCCGGAAATTACCGGGCAGAAAAAATATATATATATATATATATATATATATATATATATATATATATATATATATATATATATATTGATGCATGTTTCATTAAAAAATATAGACATGTTTAGTCTATTTATTTTAAGTAAATTTCTTTTATATTGTCTGATAAGCTTAATAAGATTATCACGGAAAAATGAAAGCAAAACACCATATTGATACATGTTTTTTAATTATAAGCTTTCGGCTTACATAAGCCATTATCAAAGATGACAATTACATTTCAATATATTAAACAATACACGGACAAAACAATAATGATAGTCTGTTTTTGTTTGCATAAAATTTCATTTCAACGACAAACGACAAACTCTGAGACGCTGGAAGCGAAAATGAGACATGACGTCACACATGACCACGAGAGTGAAACGAGAAGTGTTAATATGGGAAGCCGTTGGTATAAACCAATGGCTTCTGTTATCAATTATAGGCATTTAAGAATATTTGTGGAGATTTCATAGTTTATTTTATTCAGGTTAGGTTTCAACTGTTTTATGTATATAGCTTCAAGAATTTAAAATCTTTGTTTATTGCTTTCATGTTTAAGTATAGTTGTGTTTTCAACAAGGATTTTCCGGAATTGTGTACGCGGCCAGGCATGTTGTTTTAAATGCTTAAAAATGTTATCATTCAAATGTAGAGCCAAGCGTGGTGAAAGCGAGTTTGTGGTTTGACCAACGTAAATATTATTTAATATACAGATATACAATATACAGATATACAATATATAGAGATACAACCTCCCAAAAGGCACTTGAATTTGTAAACTATGTTGGTATTTTGCAAAATGCTAACGTCTAACTGAAGTATCATTCCGAATAATTGATTTTGATATACTGGATTTAGTGTACTATATGATTAAACTTATATATATATATATATATATATATATATATATATATATATATATATTTATTAAAGACATTTTTATTTATGTTTAACGTTGTTATTTTTTTTTTATTATAGATAACGTTAAACATAAATAAAATGTCTTTAATAAATAAATTGTCGGACCTCGTCCATTTCTTAACATATATATATATATATATATATATATTATTGATCGATACAGTTCCTCTATCAGATCAAATCAGTAGGTAGAGTTACAGTTTGGTAGACGTGTTCTTGTGGACATGAAATTTCTTTTAATCCGACCATTTAAAAAATATCTAAACATATTATTTATATTTATGTTTCTATTAATCTATCATGTTCTATATTTACAAGAACCAAGCTTGCCTCGCTAGATCATTACCAGTGAGTACATCATTCGATCCATTTTATTAAAATTTTTTTCTTTTTTGTAATTTTTTAAGAATAATTAGAAAATCATTAGAACACTTTGACGTGGTGTAGTGGTTAGGAAGCTTCTTCTAAGAGATAAGTTATGATTGAATAGTGAGTTCAATCCTCACTGTGAGCCCCATATTTCAGCATTGTGGTACATCTAAGCTCCGTTGAGAAAATCATTTAGACGTTGTGCAATAGTTAGCAAGCTTGTCAATTTCCTTATTCTAGATTTTCTCATGATATGCCGTTATGACAATTTGTTCTTACTGACGTATTTGGTTTTATGTTGACGCTAATTCAGCCGGGTTTCGATCCTAGCTAGAGGCAACCGGACGTCTAGCCACACTCATTATCTGTGCTACAGAGAAACAGTCTGTCTGGCGATGACTATATATATATATATATATATATATTCACATACACTGGGTTGTATATTAATATTCTTTGTTTTTATTATTATTTCATTTAAATTCCTCGATTAGTTTCAGCCAACATGGCCATCATCAGGAGAAAAGAAAAATTGATTCATCCTTGATAATGGCTAAAGTTATAGCCGAAAGCGCTCGGAAATATAAAACATTTGGACAGCTCTTACACACCCTTTGTCCAGAAAAGAAAGCTCTTGTCAGAACACAAGAAAAATTAAATAAAAATCTTAACCATTGTACCTTGCCTGTAGTTTTAATGAAATATGCATAAACGAAGGATTGCTGCCTAAATATACAAGTATATATATATATGTGGATAGATACATAGATAGATATCTATACATGTTGTAAACCTTTTAAACAAAAATGAATAAAGAAATAAACAGCGGATTATAAGTTTCCAAAGAAATAAGATTAAGTTAATACCAATTTATTATTTGGATAATAGAGAGGTTGACAAGTGTAATTATCATTCTAACAATTCTTCAAACTGTTGAATTTATTTTATCTATTGCTTGAAAGGATGGCTTTCTTCGTCACCACAAAAGCTGAAAACCACGATATTGAATGGGTTAAAGCTACAAGAGAAAGAGAGAGGAAGCTGTGAAGAGTCATGAATGTACACAGGGAATTGCAGGGATCCAAATTGTATTTCTTTTCGATCAAAATCTCTTAACAAATTACAAATCCTTTGTCAGTAAGTGTTCCGTTGTTTGAACCAATTTCTAAGTTCTATGTTTTCGCTATTGGCAATGTCACTTATAATGTAATTAACGTGATTTTTTCCCCTCCATCTTCTCATGCGTCTTATCTGCAAGAGACAAGTCCGTGATCCATCATTGAAGACATATTTTTCTTCTGCGCACAAATTATGCGTGAAAATCGCTCTTCACATCAAAGGAAAAAATACAAGAACAAAAAGCAACAATAAAGAATGAAAAGAATCGAGTTCAGTAAAACGAACAGAACAAAACACAAAAAATATTTATATATATATATATATATATATATATATATATATATATATATATATATATATATATATATATATATATATATATTTAAAATGATATATATATATATATATATATATATATAAATATATATATATATATATATATATATATATATATATATATATATATATATATATGTATAGGGATTTTTGAAAATTATCTACATTGATCAAGAAGAAATTTATCTGAACAAACCAAAATCCCATGTTTTATATTAAACAGGCTAAAGGCGTATTGCTTAAAAATTTAACTATATCGTTATAGAAATCGGTTTTCAAAAGCTGTAAAAACTTTAATCATATGCCAGAAACAAATACGTTATTTGCTGTTTGATTGTGGTCTGTTTATATGTATATCTTTCTTTTGGTGTGTTTTTTTTTTACAATAGAAAAAAATTATCTCTGACAGATGCATATTTGTCAAAAATATGTCATAAAAAAACGATTACAAAATTTACAAGCTTTACTCCTAAGTGATTCTATTTCACTTCAGGCAAGGCGATAATGCCACTAAGAAGCAAATGGTTACTGGGAGTGCAAGAAAATGATAAGACTTTAATGAGGAAAAAGTACAATAACACAACAGGATAAAAAAGATAGAAAATGGCGATTGATGTTCTATTTAAAATTTTGAAGATTGTAGGTGACAGGGAAGCAATAAACTGGAAGAGATTTGAACAGTCGTGAAGTACGAGAAAAGAATCTATTAGAATAGAAATTGCGGTTATATCTAGCAATTTCAACGATAACACGACAGGGACCTTGTTGCTAATTTTACACTTAAATTCATGCGATTGACGTACCAACGTGGAGTGATCATATTCTATAGGAATAAAGTGTTGTTGCCGACACTTGAATTTGAACATAGATCGCCAGTGAGCAAACACAGGCGATACCATTATTCAGTTAAGTAAACGACGTGACCATAAAGGAAACGCGTAAGTAGGAAGTTGCGTGACGTCTAGATTGATCGCTATTTCTAGCCTATCCTCTATTACTATTCGGATCGCTATTTCTAGTATATCCTTTATACTATACGGATTGCTATTTCCCCGCTATTCTATATTACTATATGGACCGCTTTTCTCTACTCTATTCACTATATTATTTCTTTATTCGGATTACTATTCGAGCGAATATTATCGAGCAAGTACTATTAGTGCGAGTGCTATTCGAAGGCGGCTGACACCAGTATTGTTCAACGGCGTTACTATAGTTGTATCTGCGATTACAAAGTCTCTACTACAACGAGCATTAGGAAAGTGTCAACGAGTATCGTTGGCATCACAAAAGATCAATAGACCAAAGGTCATGAATATTTTTATAGAAAAGATATTTCACCGTGATGAGAATGTGTCTGAAGTCGAGATGCCAGTTATTAATCCAAAATTTGTTATAACTTCTAACGGGTTTTGGGTCTACAGAAGGATGCTGGGGATAACATGGAGCGAATATGTTAGCAACGACAAACTATTAGAGAAAATAGAAAACATCCGAAATGAAATGTCTATGGTATATAGTGAGGAAAGAGGGCTGGGAAAACTGGATGCTCAGAGGATTGGTCTGGTTGATATTGTTTAGCATCATATCAACCTTCATGGGTTATTGCCGAAATCTAAATATTTAATGCCTACAACTACAGATAAATGTATTGTTAATAATTCTACTATAATTCTAAATATAATTCTAAACATAATAAATAATATAAATATAACTCTAAACAATAAATAATATAAATATAATTCTAAATATAATAAATGATATAAATATAATTCTAAACATAATAAATAAAATAAATATAATTCTAAATATAATAAATGATATAAATATAATTCTAAACATAATAAATAATATAAATATAACTCTAAACATAATAAAAAATAAATATAATTCTAAATATAATAAATGATATAAATATAATTCTAAACATAATAAATAATATAAATATAACTCTAAACATAATAAATATAATAAATATAATTTTAAACATAATAAATAAAATAAATATAATTCTAAATATAATAAATGATATAAATATAAATCTAAACATAATAAATAATATAAATATAATTCTAAACATAATAATTCTAATATAAATATATATTGCTGGCCATTTTATTATTAATAGGTATTCCTGGTTATTTTACTATTAAAAAAATTAGTATTTTTATAGTTTCATAGTATTTTGTTTTC